TTTATATCTAAACTACTTGATTCTACTGAAAGACGTCATAAATCCATGAAAAATCATGCCTCTCTGTTATTTACAAGAAATTCAAATCCTGGGTTTAACTACATGTTTATGATGCTATGGTTCAAATTGCGAAGTATCACTGAAATGAAATATAAATATTAAGACAGCCAGAGGATATTATATATTCTACCCAGTACAGAATTGTGTGTATACTGTTTTGTTATATAGGGCATTAATAACGTCATTTGCACTGCATTAACCTAGCAAATTATATACACTGATATGCAGAAAATTACATATACACATAGTTAACGGCAGTTTACGTCTAACCCACGGTTAGAAGAATATCTAATAAAATTGAGATTGAAATTGTCATCATCATCCAGTGTTTATAAAATACTATCCCTTAGTGTGACCATAAAAGATACAGCTCTACGAAAGCACTACCAGCGGAGTAACTAACTATGGTATTACTATAATTCAGACCTTTTTTGTTTCCATTAAATGACAGAGTACATGTAGTGGTCAATTATCCCTCGCTATACACTAAATTGATTTTCACAACAAACAGTGTGACAAACAATGTACAATCAAAATAAACATATAAAACAGCGTGACCAAATCATAAAATGGCAGCAACTCAAACTGATATCAATATCACATATATATTTGAAAATTCACACAGACCAAACTGATGTAGACATGAACGGGTTATATATACCTACTCCCCTAGTATTTGACCTAAACTGTCTTTTTGTAATCACTACACTTAATCCAGAGCTTAAAAAAATATCATAAGCTACACCAGCATTAAAATGTTAATATCTTGCATATTTGCATGTTTTTAAAATTGAATTATGTATATAAAACTGGATATATCTCAGTTTTGTATTTACATTTCATAAAACAGAGCACAATTATTTTAATCAGAAAAAGATCAATATACATAGAGAAATGTATGGCCAAGTATAACATTATACTCTAATACCATTATGCCTTGATATGTAAATTATAACAGTTTTCAAATTTTGATATTACTGTTCCACTCTATTAACCTGTTCACAACCAGTTCCCTCTTTTCATCACAAATTCACAAAATAGTTCCGATTATAGTCTGCACTTTCCTTCAGAAGATTGAGACAAAAATAGCCAAAGTTTTTGAGTAAAAACTGAAAACTGACTCAAATTCTGTCTGTTTGCTACAAAATTATGGTTCATTTCCAGTAATAATGAAGAATACAAAAAACAAGGTTTGGGCGAGAAAGTCTGGTGGTG